GCATTGAAAGAGATTTATATAAGCCGAAGTTTATATATACACATTGGCAGGTAGTCAATATTTGACTAGAAAATAAGAAACTGATCGATTTTGTCTTATTCACATCAGTCTCAGTACATTATACTCAGATGTTAAGGTTTCAAGAATGATATGAACACAAACCAAACATTAATAAGTTTAAATCACTTAATTACCTACCAGTAAATCTTTGGAGTTATTGCTATTGTTGTAAGATTGTTCTCTTTTTTTGTTGGTTAACTTAGACTAACATCTCTCTCCTGTATCCTTTTAGTGGCTCAAAAGACAGAACACGAAACATGGTACTTGGGAGTTAAATAATTTACAAGAAAAAGAAGCTATCTATACAATTATCTAAACAGAAATTAAACTCTAGACATCTAAAACCAACTACTTTTATTTTATTTTTAAATAGTCTTTAGGTGTTTTATCAGTACATTCAACAAAAACTTTATTCATACACCTAACACTTAGTTCTTATGATTTTAATGGAATATTTATTAAGTCAAATCATAAATAATTTCCATTCTTCTTTATCAACTTTATTCTTTAGAATATTACAATTGGTTCCCAAAAACTGAAATTACTTATGACTCAACCCAGTACATAATTATAAGGACATTCTTGTCCTAGTCATAATAAAAAAAACAGAAACAAACACAAATATGAACTGAAAGAGTCAAATTATTTAACACCGAATAAAGATCCGATAAACTTTAACACTGTTGTATTCTAGGATTGGGTCTAATTTTTTGTAGTTTTTCACTTAATTAAATCATTGCTGCCTGAATCAAAGACATACAAGATACAATGGCTTTTATTAGTTGACTTTGTTATATCGATTTACATTGCACAGGTGATGTTCATGCATGTTTAATGTCACATTTTGTTCACATTATATCGGTGATTAAATCTTGTTGACATAGTAGTGAGAAAACAGAAATTAAATAGCAAAGATGGAGTTGGGGGTGTTGCTGTTGTATTGCTCATCTGATTATTCAGATCATTTTCCTGGGAAGGGTGATGGTTAAAAAAAAAAAAAAAAAAAAAAAAAAAAAAGTGCACAAAAAATAATAGGTCCCTAATTGAAAGTAAAAATCTGAGCCGTATTCAAATATTTTGTTTTGCTCTGGTTCTCTGTATATGCATGTAGATAGGGGAGATAGTTAGAGGGTAATTAAAACTTGTAAAATGAAGAAAAAAAAAAAAAAAATTTTTTTTAATCTAAACGATTCTTCTCTATAAAAAATAAATTCAGTTTTGCATTACATATTTTCTACCATTTTAATGACGAATAGTGCATTTTTAATGGCACTTAAATCTAGAAAATACAAATATTTCTAACATTTGCCTTGCAATACCCACAACCTAACAGAAATAAAAAAAAAAAAAAAAAAACCCTTACATCTACAAATTACTCCAGAAAAGGTCATAAATAGCATCACTGTGCTATATTATTAGACAAAAAATCTTTGATACCCACCATTAAGTAATATATTCAAAACAATGAATGATTAAAGTATGAAAACATATTTAAGAGACTAACACTGATACTGTTCTTAAATAAAATACTGTTAAGCCATCAATACATTGATGGTATGTGCATGTGTGAACACACACATATATATATATATATATATATATATATATATATATATATATATATATATATATATATATATATATATATATATATATATATATATATATATATATTAGTAATACTCAGCTGGAAAAAAAAAAAAAAAAACAGTTGTAAAGCTAAAACAGAGTGCTCAATACGCTAAATAGAGCTGGAATAAATAAAATAAATTGTAAAAAGCCAGGAAAACCTACCTAGGTTTCATGTAAACGGATCTTCAGGGTAAGCTGGCTAAAGAGGATATGATGAAAGAGTATTTATTGATAAAACCATTAAAAAAAGCATAAAACCACATGACAGAAGACAAAAAAAACAAAACAAAACTCAAAGCCTCTATTCCAATAACCAGGATTTCCTATGCCTCAACCTATTTAGAATCTCAGATCTTTGAATTAATAAATTATTAGGTTCATTGTAGGTGGCTATTGCTAATTTTTCCTACATACATAATAAACAAAATTTGACCCGCTTATTTATGGCATTCTTTTTTAATATTTCCCCCTTTTAAAAAGGGGTTTTACCATCTTGTTTTATATTCCATAAGTATGTAGACAGGTTGGTACTATGTTTGTACTTCTTGTGATTAAAGCTGCTTAAATGATTGTAGTAACATTTTTTTAAGTTACCTTGGGTGGATCCTATGTAAAATTTGGGGTTCTTATAAATATTATTTGGTTTATTTATGTGTATTTCGACTTTGTAAACCACACACTCCTGTTGGCACCTGCCCTTAAGTGGACAGGCGTCTTTATTTCTAGTTACATTTGGGGGGGGTTGCCCATGATATTTTCCTGTTATATTTATTAAGTTTATTTGGTATACAACTTAATTTAACAGTTTCTATTGAAAATTTTGTACAATACATATGTCGAGGGGGATTCGTTTTGCTTTTTTTTTACTAATTTGAAAAACATTTTTCCTATTTTAGTTTTAACTGCTAAATTAGGGGGGGGGGGTTAAACCATAATATCTTCCTGGATCTATTTTTGTGCTTGCCTTGCGTGTTAGGGAAATTATGAGTGTCAACATATGTTAATTTGCTTTTGTGTCCACTATTTTTTAAGGTCTTTTCACAATCTTGTTTATTTTTTATTAAAAATATTAGCACTAGATGAATTAGGTATTTGTTTTAAAACATGTCTAGGGTGGTTAGGACCTATGTCAATATAACGTGGCAGTCGGTTGCTTTTCTTAAATGGGGAAATTGTGCCATTACGTAGGTCTAGGGTAATGTCTAAATAGTAACTTTTAAATTAGTTTGTATTTCTAATTTAAATCCAAATTTTTGAGCATCCAATGTAATATTTCACGGATTATGTCGCTTTTTCTTGGGGTATACTCATCAATTATAATTACACCTCATCTCTGTAGAGACCATTGTTACTAGGGTCAATAAACTTATTCAAATTATTTAATAGGAGGCACCCTACTAATTCGCATACCTTGGCTCCGTTATATTGTCAAAATTGCAGCGGTCTCCTTTTTTAATCCATAATACATCATTATGGTGTAATAACAATTTGCGACAATGCCTAATGAGGTCAAATTTATCATTGGATATTGAAATGTGCTCCTTAGCCAGCTCTAAACCTTCATTAACCATTTTCTCCATAATAGATGGGTAAAGTTCTTTTATGTCATATTTCACAAAAGAACATTTGCTGTTTTTGTCCTAATTATTAAACCATTCTATACAGTCACAAGTAGAGCACCATTGGTTAATGTTTAAAACTGCTCTTAGTGTTTCACATATATCTTGCAATATTACTTAGCTGATTTTACCAATTTGTGTTTTAGTTGGGTTGATTAACCGACATTCAGTGTTATTATAGAAATCATTTTTGTAGCCTTAATGTTATGAAACAATTTTTAATATTAATTTCCTCCTATACTATTCTCAAGATTAAACTTACTAGCTAGTATACTAGCTTCCTTATTGAGCTCAATTTCTAGGTTAGCAAGGCTTCTCTTTATCCAGCTTGCCCTGAAGATCCATCTAGGTGAAACCTAAGCAGGTTTCCTGGCTCTTTAAGAGATATATATATATATTACATACACACACTTTGAACAAGTCATTAAAGTTGTAGTTTTTATGGCAAACCCAGTTAAATTTTGATAGAAGTACAAGCCACCCAGTGGGAGTTGAACTCCCTCATGGTGGAGTAGTGGATAGCGGCTCAGATTGAGGAATCAGAGAGCCAAGTTTGAATTCCAGTTGAATCCATTACATTCGCTAACATGCTAATACCCTTGGGAAAGGCATGAATGCTCCTCTCCTCCCAGCTATGGGTAAATAGCAGGACAGACCAGGTTCTATAGGCTTAGATGGCAACTGGTCTACCACAGAAAGAAATAGTAACCTACTGCAGGACAAAAAGACTGCCTCGTCAGTCATGTATCAAAAGATACGATTGCCTAAGCATGTATCATGTATGGCACATAATTGACTGACTCTGTAGTAATGGTCTGTGAAACTAACTTGTTATATTTTATATGAATAGTAGTTAACCTTTTAAACATGTGCTTTCAGTTTATTAATAATTCTATCAAGTTTATTACAAATTATTTAATGAGAGATTGTTTTTTTATTTGTAAGAACTAATATTAGTATGGACATTATTTCAGTGTAATTAAAATAATCTTATATTGTACACATAAGTGAAAAAAATTAAAAACAACCTCTTCATTATTGATCAAACATTTCTCAAATGAGGGTCATCGTCAGCTGATTGCTTATATTTGAAAAATTTTAAGTCACTTTTCAAAAAATAAATAGATAAAAAACAGAAAAGAAAATAAATCTTAAAAAGATCCAAACCAAAACAGGATTTTTTATTTTTGTTTTCTATATATAAAAAAAAAAAAAAAAAAAAAAAGAAAAGAAAAGAAAAAAAAAAAAAAAAAAAAAAAAAAAAGGACAGAAAATCAGTTCAATCATTCAATAAAACTGCAATGGAATTGTTCAAATTTTGACGAATGAGTAATGTTAGTGAGTGAGTGAAGATTGGAAGTTGACAGCCCTCCATGTTAAGAGTAAGAACTGAAGTGGAAGAGAGTCACTCTCTTCAGCCACTTTAAATATAGGTGAGAGTGAATGTGAAATAAGGTAGGAACAGGCTAGAATTATATATAAAAAAAAAAAAAAAAAAAAAAAAAAAAAAAAAAAAGAAAGAAATGGGAAGGGTGTGAACAGAATAGGATTAAGGGGTTTTAAAATCCAGGTGGGCAGGAATTAATGGCCATCACTGCTATTGCAATATCTGCTTCCACAGGAAGAGAAGACAAAAAAAAAAAAGAAGCAGAGTGACCGGTTGTCGCCCTGAGGGTCTCCAGAAGGTCATTACAAACAAAATTCTTCCTTTGGCCTTCTGCAATTTTTCCTAAACAATCTCAGGCACTGGCTCTGAAGCAAAAAGAAATATCAGACATTTAAAATGTAAAACTAAAATACATAAAAAACAAAACAGGCAGCTAAATTTGAATAAATGGGTCAAATTCCTAGATAAGACATAAATATCCCTGTAAACAAGGAATGTTTTAGTATTTTCTGTATATTTTCAATAATTACATTTGCTTTTGTCTGTTCTTTAATATGGTAGTAGCAGCTGCCACATAGCATTATTTGTTACTGCACTTTGATATATTTTGAATAATTACTATACCAGGTGGGCAGTGGAAAATTTTCCCATGCAAAAGTGGGTGATGATATACAAATTGTGTGTGAGAGAGAGAGAGATATTAGTAATAAGGTATATACAATATTAATCTTTTGCTGCACTAAATAAAAACATTTTTTAATACACAAGGAATTGTTCAAATAGTAAATGTTTTTCTTACCTCCAAGTGGAAAAAAAAATCAACCAAAAATCTTTTTAACTCAGTGGTGTTTTACTTTATCTGAGACTTGTACATACAATTGAATAAAACTCAGGAATAAGTGGAAATTCTGAAAGAAGAAAATAGTCAAAGGTTCAATTTTCTTTTTCAATGTGTAAATAATGTAGAATATGGTTTTCAGAATCAATATTGCTGCCAATTGCCTAATTTTAAAAAGGATGAAAATATCAAAGTATCAAATAAAAGTTTATCATATTTGGTAGAACACAAACCCATTCCCTTCTTTATTAAAAAATAAATAAATCTGCATTTTATATGCAAAGATAAATTTTCTAGTCTGATAAGTTGCCAGTACCAACTGTATAATATTAAATAGAAAGTTGGAGTTGGGTGTCTTATCTTCTATTTCAAATAAACTTAAACAACATTGATAAGTTTCTTCAATTCCTATTACAGGGATGCACTCTTTGCTGATCTACAGCATGAACAATGTAGTATGAAGAATTAGATTTATTCATCATGCCACTTTTCATTTGCTTTCATACTTATATTGTAAGTATGGTTCAGTACTAATGGTTGCAACTGTACTATTTTGCTAACTAGAAATGATTGGTCCATGCCACTATAGTTGATTCTGTTGCTTATTTGCCATTGATCATTGGATATCAAGCCAATGTTTTGGTCTATTTGTTTTCCTATCTATGCAACTGGAGAGATGCTACCCACATCAGGTTTTTTGTCAGAGGTTACTATAGTTTTGTCAGGCTTTTTGTCTGATTATATTAAACAGGTCATCACAACTCTGCAGGTCAGAGGAGCATGCAATTCACTCTACCATGTCAATAGATCATCAAATACAGTACCTTTTAAAATAAAATTTCAGAGTCAGTTATGTACTATGAGCGATACACACTTAGGCAATCATGTATCTTTTGATACATGACTGACGAGGCAGATTTTTGATGTTGCCATTTCTTTCTTTGCAGTTCCCATCCAAGGCTATAGAACCTGGTCCGTCCTGCTATTTACCCATAGCTGGGGAGGAAAAGAAAGGATTCGTACCTTTCCTAAGGGTATAAGTGAATGTAATTGATTCAACTGGAATTCGAACTCTGCTCTCCGATTCCTTAATCCAAGCCACTATCCATTACTCCACTATAACATAGTACAAATCTAATAGAGAATGAAGAAAATTCTATTTGTTTTGATTTTATTATTAGATCAAGCAGTCATTTTTTATATCTTATTTCTGCAGCCTTTTATCAAACCGTCTTTGTACAACCATTAGTTAGCAAACGGTATGGTTCAGAAATAAACAATATACAAAACCATGCTGCATATATAATTTGAGATAATTTGAGAGTCATGATAAAAAGAAGCAGAAACAAAATGAAAGACTAGCCAAAAATTAATAATTAAAATTCTTTTTTTATTTAAAATTTTGCCTTGACAATAATAATTGAATATTTCTGGATCTCTGACTTGCTAAAAGGTATTTAAATTATATTTTTTATTATTAATTTCTATATATATTAAAAAAAAAAAAACTTAAAAAAAAAAAAAAAACTTACTTGTGCAATGAGGTAGACAAAAGCCAAATAGGCTCCTATGCCAACTGCAAGGAATAAATCAAATACAGCTGGTTTTACACTGAAAGAAAAAGAAAAATTAATAACACCAAGTTCAAAAGAGAATGAAGAAAAAAATATAGAAGGAATTTTGAAAGTGATAACAACACTGCCTTGAATCATCCTCAAATGAGCATATATACTGAATAGTTAAGTTCAGTAATCTTGTATTGTAAGTGACTTGGTAAAACTAACAGCTCCAACTCTTAATAATGATTGTAGCATCTCATTTTTAGAGACAGGATCACTTTGGTATTGTTGACATTCCTCTGCCAAGCAGATGGAAGATGTGATCGGAACCACAATGCCATTGCATGCACCAACACCCCACATTCCAAAACATTATTTTCAGTCAGGGTTTATTCCCTTGTTGTTTACAATAACCCAATCAAGGCATGGACCAGGCTCAATGCTGCTTAAATTTAGTGACCAAACAAGGTTCCAGTGTGATTTGAGTTAAAAAAAAAAAAAAAAAAAAAAAAACACTTAACACAACTGGATTATAAAATATAAATAAACTTGTGATTGAGAAAGATTTCCAAATGGTAAAGAATACAAAGGAAAATAAAAATCATGCAGTAAGTCATGGAAAGTTCCAAATAATATTAGCCCAAGCCCCAGGAGTCCATCCTCCCAGGCAGTACCTTTCCTTCAGGAGAGGGCTGGGTCTATTGCCTGGCGCTTGAGGTGTTCCCAAAAGGGGAAGTCCCAAGGGGACTCAAGAAATTTTTCTACAGTACTGCCATTAAACCCACTTTAAACTGACTCTGTATCACATTCAGTAGCAATCTAGACGTACTGAAAAATACATTCATTAAATGCTTAAAAATAAAGTATTGGTTATAAATTTTTCATAAATCAAAGTTTTACACATTCATTTTTTTTTTCTTGATAATTAATTTTCAGTCTTTATTCTCAAAACTTGTAGTTGAGGAGATGTTTTTTTTTTTTTTTTTTAAAAACTTACCCAGAGATAAATGTTAATTGAACAATCACAGATTAAATGCTTGCCACCAATAGAAGGAGGTATTATGAATTGTGGGTAAGGAATCAGAAGCAAGTAGGGAGTCAGACTATTTTTTTTTTCTTTTGATGTTCTGTAATCATTTTTTTGCTTTTTTTTTTTTTTTTTTTTTTTTTGGAACAATTCATGAAACAGACCAAAGATAAGTGAGAGGGAAAGTTACAACAAGCCAGACAAAATGACAAATTTAGAGGCTGGGCAAAAGGTACATTACTTCCCTGTTCACAGCAAGGATAAAAGGAACTGAGAGAGAGGAGTTTGATTCTTTCCTTCTTAAGTACAAACTACAAAACATTGTGAGTGCTGGACTTTTTGAAATCTGAATAGTGATGAAATTTTGGTATCTGGTTATTCTAAGCAGAAGACCTAATTGGGAAAATTAAACAATTGTTTATGAAAATAAAATCATTAAGCTATTCACATAAGTTAATAAATAAATGGAATTAAAATGAACAATTAAATTATTTTTTTATATTTATGTAACAACTGCATTTGCTCAACTAAGATAAGAAAAATCAGTATAAGAAAAATAAAACCAGATACTTACCTATAGGCATTCATTGTATAAACAGTACCATCATAAAATAAAAATTCAGGATCTCTACAAGGGAAAAAAAAAAAAAAAGCATGAATCAGCCTTTCCAAGAAGATATTCTGGTTGGCAGGGGTGGAGGAGGATTAACATTTATGCACTTGAATGTTCATTTTCTTTTTGACTTGATGATATATTCTATACAAGGGGCCAGCAACCTACAGCACAAGTACCATGCCAAGCAATTTCCAATGGCACGCAGCTGCAAATGACATCACAAAGTCTGAACCAATAACTACTACACTGCAAAGAAGATATTTAGCGATTTCAATTTTAATATACAATAAAGTATATATACCATATATTACTATATAAAATATATTATAGAACAGATATATTGACCTTGACTTGTATAAAAATATGTAGTTAGCAAAAGGTTGCCAACCTCTGTTCTATACTACCCTCAGTATCATATCAATTCCTTTAATCACTAATTCAAATTTTCTCATTTAATAATAAATGAACTATGTTAGTTTTATGTATTTATTTGTTGTAGCCAGAAACAGCATACTTTATAAACCTATGGTAGTTAAAAAAAAAAAAAAAAAAAGTTTCATAGTTCTGAGAAATTTTCTTTCTGTACTCACCTTTTATCAGCTTTTAATCCTGTAATTTTTACATCTTTGAGGTAACGGGATAGAGTTTCCTCCAATGTTGTAATTAATCGATGATCTTTTGGAATCAGTGGAGTTGCTCGTGGCTGGGAAGTAAGGCAGGCCAGCCAAGCAGAGACCAACTCTTCTTGCACTTCCTGGAAAAACAAACACTTACAATTTGTACATATGTAAAAGAAAATCTAACTATCTTTATATGAACGAGTGAACATTTTTTTTTTTTGCTTGAAATACTAGAATTTAAACTTTTTTCTTAGTAATTAATATATCAATCAGATAATGAGTATATAAATATCTGGTGGAGAGAGAATCCCAACATGAAACCACAAAAGTTTTTATTTGAGAATATAGTTGGTTTCAAAAAGAATTTGAAACAAAAATTCTTTTCAAATGCTAAATCAATTTACTTAGAAATATACATTTAGTCTTAAACTAGGTACCTCCCAATAATTTGCAAAAAAATCATCAGTATAGCATAATGATAAAAGGTCTGAAACTTAATAAAAACAGTTTCATCATTAAAATGTCTGTTATTATTAAGAGGAAAGAACAAAGTATTTTTTTTTTTTTTATAAATATTTTTAAAAAATTTTTCCTTTCTAACATGTTCTAAATTTAGGTCAAAAATCTTTTTTTTTTTTTGTTGTTGTTAACTTTGTAATACTTGTGGTCACCGCCATTTTAGTGGCGCAGTTTCAGGAGGAAAACCCATTAATTTGGAAATTCTTGCAAAAATCAAATAATTGTCTGATTTTAATAAACTTTCAGATTTATTAAAAAAATGAATGAATTTATTTTTAAATTTTTATTTTTAAATAATCTTGGTAAAAATACTTTTGTTTTTTACATTTATTACCCACCCTGCCTATAAATTAATTTTATGAAATTTTCTAGAATTTCCAAGAGTACGCAAATTGTTTTATATTACTTATAAGCAGGACTCCTTGGAGAAATTAAATCATCAATTTTTATTTTTCACAACTACTGCCAACTTTTTAAAAATCTGCTCCAAATCGTAAAATAAAAACTGCAATAAACTATCTAATTATTAAATTAGATAAGCTTTTTTTTTTTTTTATTTGCTTTTATAAATAATATACATTAAGAACATTATTATCTGCAGAAAAAAAAAAAAAGATTTTTTTTTTTTTCAATGAATAAAGAATTTTTACAAGAATTGTTTGCATTTTTCCTTTAGTTTTTTTCATTTTTCTTTAATTTTAAAAATGTTTTAAAATTCTTCCAAGCAGAGTGTGGGGTCAGTTATTAAGTTTTTAAGTGACGACTATATTTACTAAGCAAAAATTAAAAGCTTAATACAAATAATGCTACCAAAACTTTTTACCATGATTAAAATTTTTTTAATTTTTTTTTTTTTAGTATAATATCTCATAAGTGATATTATGGTTAAAAGGTCACGTGTTTCAAAGCTTGTCTCTTCTTTGGGGAAAGCCCCTTGACATGTAAAGGTCTTATCTCACTCTCAGTTATTAAATTAAAAATTAAATTGAGATAATAAAATTCTCATTTATCAATTTAAACAATTAATAGCTGAAAAGATATTTTAATTATTAATATAATAATAATTTTATTAGTTATTATCTCAGTTATTAAATTAATGTAATATTAATAATTAATAATATTATTTATCATTATCTTTGCTATTAAATAATGAAAGCGATAGAGGTAACTCAATAATGTAAGAAATTTTTATAGTATTTTAAATTATTATAAGAAACAAAAAAAAAAAAAAAAAAAAAAAAAAAAACGTTATGTCACTTTTGATGCACCATACTAAACCTGTCAACACATTCAGCCATCAAATTATTGATGGAGACATGAAAATAAGACCCCAAGATCAAGAAATGTTTGCCTAGAAAATTTTATGCTATAAGTGATTTTTGTTTCAGAACAGATTAATTTAAATTTGCTAATTTTATGAAAGTAACATTTCAAAAATGTATATCTTATTTTAGCAGGATTTTCAAAACTGAAAAAGAATTTCTGTTTACATTTCTTAAAAAAAAAAAAAAGTTAAAAATGTCTGTTTCGATTGGTTTTTCGGAAGCATCGACCAAAAATCATTCAAATTTCTATTTGAAATACTCCACAGTATATTTCTTTCTGTAATTAGAAAATTTAATCCTTTAGCTTTCAATTGAAGCGGTTGGAAAGCTTCGAAAAGGACTTTTTCTTTATGAAAAATACATTTAAACCATAGGTATACAAATTTTTGGAGGTACCTAGAAACTAACAGAAAAGCAGCCATAATAATTGTTGTTGTCTGCTGGTATTCATGTAGAAGTTAGAAGTAGTTGGTAGTTGACATAGATGTGCAATATTTTCTACTAGTCAGTGTAGATGTTCAAGCCCAGAGTGATTCTCAAAGCTGACAGTTTGTTCCCACTTGAGCCAATTGGTATAATTTTTTTTTTTTACCTCCTGATTTCTGGCCTTGTACCAGACAAAACTAAGGTGATATTCATATATACAAAAAGAAATTTATGATCTTTAGCTTACAAAGATTTTTGATTAGATTTTTATACAAATAAATTTATTTATATATACATATATGTATGTATATACATATATTTTAAAAGACATAAAATCCACAACTTAGCCTACAATCATGTAAATATATAAAGAATAAAATTAATGTTCCTAAAATATATATTTAAAATATATATTAAAAACAAAAAAAAACTTATTGAACAACACTTACCAATCCATCAGTAAATAATTGAAACTGTCCCTGGTTGGTTAAATTATAAATATGCCGTGCTAAGGTTTCTGCTACAATTTGAATATTGCGAGTGAGAATATGTGAATCAACTTGAGACCTGGATAGAGGAAAAAAAAATTATACTTACACGTGTATTATAAAAACCACAACCTAGACAAATTACATATATTATTTTTATTAATATGACACACACATGCACATATAATCAGTCAGCCAGTTATGTGCCATGTATGATACGCACTTAGGCGATCATATATCTTTCAATACATGACTGACGAGGCAGATTTTTCCCTGCAGAAGGTTGCCATTTCTTTCTGCGGTAGACCACTTGCCAGCCAAGGCTATAGAACCCAGTCTGTCCTATTCTTTACCCATAAGCTGGTGGGTATGGGGGGAGAAGAGGGATTCATACCATTCCCAAGAGTATTAGCACATAAGTGAATGTAATGGATTCGACTGGAATACGAACTCAGCTCTCAGATTCCTCAATCCAAGCTGCTATCCATTACTCCACTGTGACTTCACATGCCATATAATACACATTGATAAAAAAAAAAATTTCTTTGACAAAAATAAATTTATACTATTTCAATTTTTTTTTTAAAAACAAATAAACCCATGTCATTTATGAATTTGCTTGCCCACTTGGAGAATATTTCTTCAACAATTTAAATAAAATATTAGTTACATAATGATTTGAGAATACCGATTGTTGATCAACACAAATCTCACATGGATACTTTTCACTTTCATTTTAAAGTATCTTTTATACCTCAAGTTATAAATTGTCCCTGGTACTTTTTTTTATATCTTAACTTATAACAATCTATTTGCATTCCAAGCCTGTCCTTGGCTGTAACAATGAATACACATAAATTTAAAGAAATACACGTAAATTTAGAGAAAGCAAATAAAAGTTTTGAATTGTTCTATAGTATATATTATAGAAGAGAACATTAAACTGAAAATTATCCTAAATAATGAGTTTGTTAACAAAAAAACTGCTGTTGGTAGTTTTCTGTAATATGTAAATACTTGCGATATCATCTATTTCAATACTCAGAAACTAAAATAAACATTTTAGTTTAATATTTTTTCTAGATCACTCTTGCCTGAATTTCAAAATGAGGAAAAAAATTAAAAACACATGCAGTCAACTTTATATTTGTGATATAATATTACAAGAATCAACCATACATGATTACAAAGTCCAGATGTGCCCAAACTGCTAGACTATGAAAATATTGATTTTGACAAGTGATAAATCTAGGCCATTGAACACAAATTTGCAGAGGGACTAGGGAAAAAAAAAAATCACATTCTTTTCCAAGGTTTCTCAAATAAAGAATTAAACCTTAAAACTGTGACAAGATCCCCAAATATACAAAAAGTGTTCCTCATTTTATTTACATTAAACAACATTCCAAAAAATATTCTTTCCATAATGAAAACTCTGGTATTGTCTTCTAAAGCTTGGAAATATGATGGCATACCCCACCCAAAGCACAGTTGCATGCTTATCTGTCAAAATCAGACAATATATATCAGACTACGAAAAAGTACACATTGGAACAGATTTTTCTGTGTGCCTATAAATTCAAAAGTGCTACAGGCATACTTCAGAAATACCATGGATTCAATTCCAAACCATTGCAGAAAGGCACAGATTTTTTTTTTTTTTCGGCTTCCCAATGCAAAGTGAAGTTATACTGTCATCCATTAAAAAGAGTATTACCTCTGTCCCAAAATAATTGAGATATTTGCACATATCTTTCATATACTAACAGATCATGACAGCTATTAGGGAGATGTGATTAAATATACTTTAATGTTTGAAAAAAAATTATTCAGTATTATTATTTAGGTACTAAACATTATAACATAGCTATATTGTGGAAGAAAGGAATTTGACAATATACGCATTTTTTTTTTTTTTTTTTTTTTTTCCACATATTTATCATTTTTTTTTAAACTTTTAATTAAAACAACATTTTTGTACAAGTAGTTATAGACAACATACATTAATGACTATTTTTTTTTTTAATTATTAACTATCTGTGCTCAGTTTCCAACATTAATAGCTATCTACTGATGTGTTAAAATTTTGGAATAATGCAATAATAAAAATTTAAATTTCATCATCTCTTTGATAGATGTAGCGATCTGTAAATATAACAGCTATTATGAGATAAAAGCTGTATTTTTTTGCTTTCAAAATACAACAGGCATGAAGTAATTGGTAAAATGGCAACATCAATTTAACTTATTTGATACAATGTTGTCACAAACCTTCAATTTTTTAAAAGGTGGTAAAGAAAAAGTTTGCATATAGTGTGGTTGCTTACCGAACATCTAGAACTGTTCCCCTTTCTGTTGATTTATGGCTTTCCAGTTTAGAGAGAGTGAATGCAGGTAAACGTTTAATACTGAATCGTTCGTGCTCCCAGGCTAATGTGTCCTCAGCAAGATTGATTTTTTTGTGCACCATTTTAAATGATACTTCTGGGAAAAAGACATTTATCATTTCTTCCATGTCCTAAAAAAAAAAAAAAAGCAATTTTTATATATATTATTTATATATTATATATGCACGGTACTTATTGGAAAGCACTCAATATCAGTGATAGAGCTAACATATTTAGTTAAACTGATGTGAGTTTGTGACCCTGGGTTTCACATTCTTTGTGATTGTTAGACAAACACTAATGATCGCAAAGAACATGAAACACATCAATCCAACTATATATATATATATAAAAAATTCCCCATCAACAGACAATGCATTCCAAGTTATATAGGGAAACCATACACAACCTGTAACAAAACAGCTTACTGAAGTGTATTTCAAAATCCAGCAGCATAGGAAATTCATGCAATAAAATAATTTAACTGCATAGAGCAGTGGTTCCCAAACTTTTTTCCTCTTGACACATTTTTCGAATTCAAATTTTCTTGTGCCTTAGCAAAGAGAAGTAACAATGAAAAGGCGCAAGCAACCCTACAGCAAAGAAAGTCCAGAGATAAGGTTAAAGGGAGATAACCGCGGATTCGAAATCAAAATATGATAAGTCTCTCCTCCAATTTGCGGATCCGAGTTACTATATTCTTTATATTTGATGTAAAACAAAAACACCACAATGATAAAATCAGTCAATAATTCTTTATTGGGACTCATGCATGCAATTACAAGTAATCCATACTTATATTTTAAATTTTGAAATCATTTATTTTTGGCATGTGAATATTTGTAAACAGTTTCTAAATGTTTGATTGTTTTTCAATCATTCCACCACACCTATGAAGTGTACTGCATCATTTGGGAACCACTGGCAAAGAGGATGAGACAATCCTTTTAGTTTCTTTTCTAAAGTTTCCAGAAACAGTATCAAATTTTAAAATTAGTCTGCTGTATTTTTTCTATGGTTACAAACTTGAAATCAGAGATGACAGTAGAAAAAAAAAATCTATCAGATAATGTATGTTACCCTTGAATATGTATGTATATGAAGAGGCTCTGAAAAGTGTTTTTTTTTTGTTTTTTTTTTTAAAAAGCTTTTTTTTTTTAAAAAGCTTTTTTTTTTTTTTGCTGAGGACAGAACTTTTCACCATCTCTTTATATAACTATCCAATTAAGCTCATTTGAAGGTGAAGTGCAACAAAATAAAATAATAGCAACAACAATGTTCTGATGATACACCAGGCATTTCATGGCTTCTGATCTCAATTGAATGTTAACATGAACATGTTGTCTTGGTGAATTAAGATGGGCTACAGTAAATATTCCATTTGGTACCACAGATTAGTTTGTCAGTGGCCTGATCCTAACCAATTAGGCTGATACACTGTGCATTTCTGGTCATAAGTGGCAACTAGTAGAGGAGTAGCCTGACTAGGTGTCAAGAGGGCCTTTTGTTATCATAAGTTTAAAGGAGGAGTCATCCAAGGTGACTTACAGGTCACATCAAGATATTTGGGAACACTCTCAATTGGAGACCATTTGAGTAGACACGTTTGCACAACCTGAAGACATTTCCAACTGGACCCAACCTGCAAAGTTATGCACTGTTTATAATCAAAATCTGTCAACATACTGTGCAAATTTGGCTGTGATGCACACTCCTTGTAGAATTCTATCAGATTAAATATCATGATGGGTATATTCTGTTTTGTATATTAGTACCCCAGTGTCAGTTTGTTGGTGTGCTAAATAAAAGAATATATTTTACAAGCTTTGTTTTTGATATTGTTACATCATTTTGTCAAATTCATTCTACAACCTACTTCAGGTATAGGATTCAGAAGTAAAGATCTTTGTTTTTTCAACACAAAATGATTCCAAACATAGAAAATGAATCAGTTAATTCCTTATGAATTATACACCTGAAAGATTCTGTAAAATGAATCTGCTAAAACAATGTAGTAAACAACATCAATAAAAAGAAGAGAGTATTGGAATGTTAAGTACTAAAATTTTAGACAATATATTTACAGAGTTACATATACTTTTCATGGATTGGCTAAATACAGTAATGTGGATAATAATGACAATGATGCAAGGCAAAAAAGGAGAAAGTTACCTTCAGGAAATATCCACCAGCACTATCTTCCCTGGGCGGTTTTGACACATGCAGATTGAGTGTGTTACCAGAGCCAATGGTATCAAGGCACAACACATAAGCTACATCTGTCAGTTGGTTGTTATCTACAATTATAAAGTATCTAAGTAATATATTTCTACTTGTGTGTGTGTGTATATATATATATATATATATATATATATATATATAAAGCAGAGAAATTGAAGAGTTAAAAAAAAAAAAAACAATTCAATATAATAAAACTAATATTATATATTGGTGGGCCTTTTGACTAAATGGAAGCATGTACAAGAAAGATTTTAAAATCGGATTTTTCAGACACCTTAAAATTTTAAGCTAGCTGCATTTTTAGATACAAAAGAAAACAGTTACACCCCTTCAACCATGAAAGCAATGATAATGGCTAGTATAATACATTATATATTTTTAACCTCGCATAATCTGGCAACCCTGAATCTGAGCTTAATGAAAATCGTTCCTTGTGCCTAACTTTTCTAAGACTCTTGAATGAGCTATGAATCACTGAAATCGGACTAGTGGGAGAGGGGGAGTTGCTTGGACATACACGCACAAACACACATACACTGTACTTTTTATATAAGTATTTGCAATCTTGCTGTTTCTAATAAGAGGTTTTTGAAGCCGAGTAAAAATTACTAAAAACATGTACTTGTGTTTTACAACACCCATTTTTTTGCCTTTAATTTTTATTAAAGCCTGCTTTCATTGTATCTACAAAATATATTGCCAATTAACAAGCTTGTAAAGAGGATTAAAAAGTCTAGGTGATCGACAAGGTAATAAATTTTTTTTTTTTTAACGTTTCTTCCATACACACAAATTGCAAAAAATTATTTTAAAACCATTCAACCTAATAATTTTGTTAAATTTTACAATTATAAAATAACAAATAAATGAAAGAAACGTGAATATTTAGCAACATTTCAGAAGTGGCCACTTCTGGATACATTAATAAAATAAATTTTAAAATTCAGCAGATATTTTTTCACAATCAAAAATTATGAGACGTTATTTTAAAAGAGCAGCTAAAAACTTTCCAAAGAAAATAATAGCAGAAGTAAAGAGTGAGTAATTCACTAGACAAGTCTAAGAAAATAAATGAAGGAACAAGTAGAGGCATCAATAATGTAGCAAATGTTAACAAAAGACAAGATGCTGTGGAGAACTATGACTATTCATGGTAAATAAAGAAAAACTGATGCATAGAGTATTTGTTAGTGTTCAAATGGCTTTTTAAAGCCTTCATCACTGAAATGTGTGAACAATGACTTGAATTTCATGGTATATAGAGAAAAAATAGACAATCATTTAGCAATATTATCCATTTTAAAAAGAGGATGAAATAATCTGAACATATTAATAAATGAAACTTACCTGTTGATTCTAAACTGTCTTCAATCCATCGTTTTGTTCCTTGGTAATTGAATTTTCCTCCCCCAGTCAATAAAAACACTAAATTATATCTTCAAAATGTTAAGAAATGCAACAAATATGTACATCTGGTATTTAACAATCTGTGTTATTAAGTAAAAAAAAAAAAAAAAAAAATTTTTAGATGTAATCATTTTTTTTTTTTTTTAAATTCTTTTTAAAACTGTCAAAAGTTTGGTTAAAAACTGTTTCTCTGGTATCAACTGGGAACCATTATTTAGCATGAGAAATTTGAGCGTTTTTTTGTGGTAAAAAAAAAAAAAAAAAAAAGAGGAAATTCTTGCAAAAATCAATAACAGATTTTAATGAAACTTGTAACATTTATTCACAAGTGAATGAAATTATTTTTGAAACTGTGAAATTGAGATTTTTTTGTAGCAGTTAATGCCTATATTAATGATAAGGACAAGTCCTCAGAGAATTTAAAATCAAATTTTTTGGGGAGAAACAGGACCCCAGTTACAAAAAAATCTGCTCTGAATTGTAAAATAAACTAAAACATTTCATTAGATAAAATAAAAAGGGAGATAATCATTGGAATATATGAAAATGCTAATGGTGGATATCAACGTCTGTAAGACGGCAGGAATTTAAGTGAATTCAAAATTTAGTTTATAGTGAACCTATTTGTTGTTAGCAGATTTATTCTACAACCGCCTTTAGAAAGAAGAAGGTATATCCATGGAGTCTATTTTCCCTGAGACTCTTAACATCTGAATGAAGTAAATATTTTGAAGAGCTACCTTACCACCTGTGCCAGTGAAATCTTCAACCTGGTTTAAGTACATGGATGACATATTGATATTCTGATACCCCCATCAGATAAATGTATAGGCCCTTCTGATCCTATAAACTCAATTTTAACATCTATACAGTTCATGGTGGGAAAAAGAGTAACAAGTAGGGTGAAGGTGGTTACATAACTTAGGTATATAAATTGAAAAGGGAATCAGAAGCCAAAACACTAAGACACCAGACAGTAAACATTCATAACTAGAAAGAATGTCTGAACAAATCCAAAGAAATAGTGGACATAAAATCAGAGAAATTTTCAGTAGCCCATTTACTCTTCATTAATTCCTCCCAAAAATTGCTGTCCCATGACAAAAGATGGTGTTTATCCCATGCAAATGTAGAAAAATACAAAAGAGAAATCAGCTGTCTTGTTAAAAGTCATTCTTGACAAACATCGGAAAGCCATATAGAATAAAGTTTAAACTATACAATTCCTTAGAGAATAGTAAATTTTATCATAAGTTGACTAAATGACATTTTAAAAAGGCAACTTGCTCTAAATTCTTTGAATTACAAGTAAAAAGAATTATAATTCATGCATTTAAAAAAACAAAAAAACAAACTGATCAAAAACTATGATAAGGATACTTTGCATGTGTCCTAGAATTTGTGTAAAGTTTAGAAAATAATCGAGTCAATTCTAATAAAGCGATGACCCCACTGCCATTGGAATCAGCTCCTTCGGATAGTCCCTGTGAAAAGAAAATCCATTTTAGTCATTAGTATTCAAGGGAATGCTGAAAAGATTAACCTGAACCACCTCCCAAAATCTAATCAAAAGACCAAATTTAGATGAAGAATTGCTTTTTAGACTAACAACTTTTTGAACAACTCCTTTGTAGATTAAAACAACAAAGACTATGACAAATTATCATTACTTTTTTTTTTTTTTTTTTAACCAGTACAATTATTGGTCATCAGCAGACATTCAGTTTACTGTGGAACAGCATTCATGAAATTTTGAAGAAACTTATTTCAATTTATGGTTGTTGGGAGTTTTAATTTGCAAGAAAATTTGATAACCAAGCATGGGATTGAAATCAGGATATTATGATCAATATTATTCATTTTTAACACTGAAGACAAATATCCCTAAAGAAAGGAAAGAAGGAGTGGAAAGAAGAGGAACAGATTTAAAAAAAGGAAAATCACTTATCCTACATTGCAGTTGGTTTTTATTGCTGAAAGCTACCAACTAAACAGTCAGTTTTTCTATTCTACATATTCAGATTCTTATATATTTTCAACTGGTGGTTATCTGTTGAAACTGCAGTCTAAATAAAGATACCCCTTCTTTCTATACAGTATGAATTTAGCAGAAACATTCCAAATTCAATCCCTAACTATGATTCTGGATATGAAACATTACTAAAGTATAGAGGCCTCAAAAATTATTGATAGAATTATTTTTAGTAATGCATTGTTTTAATTTTTCAAATATCAATCAAGCAAATATTCTAACTGAATGACTTGCATAAACAAATTCATACAATTGACAGTAACAATCAACCTTTAAAAATCTTGACCAAGTCTCACATGTTTGAATTTTGTCTTTACAGCAAATTGGAACAGTAATGTTTAAGTATTCTTAAGTCCTAGAGAGGGAAAATTATTAAGTTTTCTTCATGTACAATAACATTTCTACAATTTTTTAATTAGTATTTCCTTTTATTTTTTCATTTGATACAGATTTAAAATGCTCATTAGATATGAAATAAGTGAAATATTAGAATTTACAGAGGCTGTGATTCTTTTTGTAAAACTGGGATGCTTCCAAAAAGGGAGGGGGCAGAGAGAAAATTCAATCATTTACATTGTTTCATATTTTTAAAGGTATTAATTGCAAAATACAATGGCAAAATTAACTCCAATTTTTAAATAAGAGATTGAAGCTGTCCAATTTTAAGTGTTTGTGCTATGAAGTTTCTCACAGTCCTATTTCTGGAATGATGGGTATTAATGGGTTAGAGGTAGGAAATCTATAATAGATTTTTTTTTGATTTCTAAGAAAAATATGATTAATCCCAGATTAACTGTCAAGATAACTGTACAGGAATTCTTTTTAAAATGTTTAGAAAAACGATACCTTAAAAGAATTTTTCATTATATTTACAAAAAAAAAAAAAAAAAAAATTTTTTAAAAGCACATACCGGTGCAATTCCAAAGGAATCATAGTGAGCCACAATCACAACACTGGGTAGTTGTTCTTCAATGCCATAACCTGCCAGACGGCCCTGAATCAAACAGAAACTTAGCTTTTATATTTTCAAAATAATATATACATATATCTGTAAAGATTTCAGATGTAACTAAAATATAACTTTAAAAGGAAACTCATCTTAGTCAACACATTTTGTCCTTCAACAGAATTTATGAAGGTAAATGCAAAGATTATATTTTGCTACAAGTATTTATAAACTAAAGTTAAAAAAAAAAAAAAAAAGTTAGTTTTTCAAAATTTTTAAATTTAAAATGATGCAATGCTTTGAAATATTAAGAATTCTTGGGTGATTTCTATTCATACTTGGAGTTGAAAATAAGGAGTGTGGTATTGGGCTTTTTAATGTTGTCATTAAGACTCTAAACTGAACATGATAAGGTATTCTTTACAATTGGAATAGTTATGTTTTATAGTGAACTTAAAACTCATTACACTCTAGTTACATGGGTAAATATTTAGTAACAGAATTAGAGTAAATCAGCCAAATTAAATTGCATAAGTTTAGAATTTATTTTTCTGGAAATAAATATTTATTTTGGAAGCATGAAAGAAAAATTTTCCTGGTGAAATTCAATTTGGCACACAATATTTATAGAATAATGTTGTTATAGAATTATCAAAATTATTTTTTTTATAATTTTCATAAATTACTTCTCTTTACAACAATAATATTTATTAAACCAAGTGTGGAGTAGCCAGTCAAGTTTAAACATACTGCAAATTTAAATTCACTAGCTTGTTAAACAATGTTACAGTAAGTTCACACTTCAGTTGATAAGCAGAATTTTAAAAATGAAAAATATAGTATTAAATGAATTTACTCACCTGAATGTTGGTGATTTGAAAATCTGGCAGAGGTTTGGACTGTGGACCTGTCACCACCATTTGGAAACCATTAGCAGAGGCAGCACTGAATAAGGCTACAAAAAAAAAAAAAAAGAGGAGGGGGGTAAATAAACATTTTTTTTTCTGAACAAAGATAAATTTTTTTCATATTTACAATTTCATTCACCATGGCATTTGAACTATTTAACACTTTATGAACATCATTATGTATTTGTCATGCTGATCATCATAAAAACATCTCAGTAGTGACTTAATATAAAACTAATTTGTCAAATGTCAATTCCTTTTACTCAGTTAAACTACTCACTAAAAATAGTCATCACTAGTCACTTTTGCTTCAACTAGATCTGAAACTAAAAACTGAAAAAGGATGAGGAAAATATAAACTTTCAAAAGTTTAAAAGATTCTCTTTATTATTATTATCATCTTCATATGACAGTTTGTTTTTATACAGCATAGAAAAAGTGGTGCAGTCACAAGATAAAGATGCATTTTCTTAAAGGGAAACTAAACAAAATTGGGAGTTTTAAAACTAAATTTAACTACTTAAACCATGCAAATTCCATTATGTATTTATTTGTCTGTTAAGAATCTCCTATTTTCTAGCAATCTATAAAAATACCTTATATATATATATATATATATATATTATTGGTAGAAATTATTATTAGTAGGTATTATATACCTTACATGAATTGCATTTATTTTATGCAAAAACAAAAGCTATGACTGGCATGTAAGATGTTTTGTTGATGCTAAGCAGATTAATTAAAATAGTTTATCATGAAAAGTAGAAATAAAAAGATAAAAAGTCTATATCTCAGCAATTTTACCTTCCAAGGCACTTGGTGCTTGGTCCCCAGTTGAGAGGTGCTTGACATCTTTGTAAATGCTGGTGAGAGCTTCAGTCTCATAGGCAAAGTATACAGGCACATTGGTCTCCTCCAGTAACAATTCTCTCTCCAGGCTATACAGGTGCTGTGTAAAAAAAAAAAAAAAAAAATACGTTGCTGAATGGTTTAATCGATTTCTTTATTTTTTTTTAACAGAAACACTAAAATAGATATCGCCACAAAAATCACAGAAAAAAAGCGTATACTATAATGAAAAAAAATGCACAAACATGATAAAATCTAAGTTTCATCACAAAAATCTTTTATTATTAAGAGGAAATGCCAAAGTATTATTTAATCATTTTTTTTTTTTTTTTAAATCCTTTTTAAAAAATTCAAAATTTTGGTTAAAAGTCTTGTTTTTCTTGTTTCAGCAGACGGACTATGAATTAACATAGAAAATTTTAGAGTTCTTTTTGCACTGAAAGACACATTGATGCAGAAATTCTTGAAAAAAAAAATCAAATAATTGTCGGATTTTAATGATACTTTCAGAACTTATCCATGAATTATTTTAGAAAATTTTTTTTTATTTTCAGAAAATTTGTGAGATATATATAAAAAAAGGCTGAAACACTAATATTCCATGGTTATAATTTATTACATTGGAACCGTAATCACGATTCAGGTCTGATGAATTGGGTCATGATTACAATTCCAATGTAATAAATTATAACCATGGAATATTAATGTTTGAGCCTTTTATATTATATTCTTACTCTGTCCTGGACATTGAGTTCTACCTGGATTCTATCCTCTTGGGAATATATATATATAAAAAATTTTTTTTATATACAGAAGAATTACGAATTACTTAACTGTAATTGTCCATATCAATCCTTGTTTTATATATATATATATATATATATATATATATATATATATATATATATGTGTGTGTGTGTGTGTGTGTGTGTGTGTGTGCAAATATATTGAAAAATAGGAAAGAACCATTAGGTTAATAATCTGAAATTCTTTAGTATTTTTGTTTTTATTTTTAAAAAAAACAGTGCTCGATACACAAGTAGAGCCTATATTAAAATTTTTTTTTTTTTTTTAAATGATTCCATTGCTACATAGGAATTGCCATGTTTCAAAAACAGAAGCTAAAAACTTCCAAATCAATTTTAGAAATTAAATTAAAATTAAAGCACTTAGTTCTGTTTCATCCTCAAACAAATTTTGGAATTTCAAAATTCGCTTGAGAATGAAACAGAACTAGATGCTTTAATTTTAATTTAATTTCTAAAATTGAACCGTCTTACAAAAAAAAAAAAAAAAATCTCTGAATTTTAAAATAAAAACAATAAAACTAAGGCATTATTTAATTAGAAAATCTTTTAATTGCTTTTATGAATAAGATCTATTAAGGACACTCTAGTCTTAAGAAAAAATTTTTTTCAATGAATTTTTTTTTTTTTTTTTACAAGATTTGTTCTTTTTTTTTTTTTTTAAATAGAATAATTGAAAAGTTTTTTAAATCTTAAAATTCAGTTTCAATGGAATCAATTTAAATTAGTTTTGAATACAGCAATGTATTTTACTTATTGGAAATATTAAATTTAATCTATTAGCTTGAAATTAAAACTAAAATAAAAATCTTCAAGACAGAAGATATTTCCAGAACAATACAATTTAAAAAAAAAAAAAAAAAAAAAAAAATTGAAATACCAGCAGAAGACTTAAGACTTGAATTTGGTACAAACCTCACGGTCATCTGTGGAGATATTCTTGAAATTGTCAGGAAGAAGGACCAAAAGTGCACCCACGTTTTGACTAATCAAATCGCGGTATTTAGGCACTGTGATTTCTCGCAATCGTACCACAATGCAACGACGAGTCAACATTTTAGCATCAACTGACCGAGCTTCCATATTGACAAATGAACTCCGGCATCCTATGAAGACAGGACAAAAAATTTTTTAAAATTAGTTTTAGCATCATCAGTCTTACAACAAGTGTATGCAGATAGATATTTCTTTAAACAGCATTACATGTATTGTGAAACATCTGAAGTGCACGATAATATTCTGTCCTCACAAAATGTGTCTATAAGATAATAGCAAAGAGGAAAATTTAAACAAAAGCAAAACGTTATATTTTATTAACCTTCCTATGCATTGTCTAATTCAAAAAAGAAGCAAAATATTTTCTGATTTGCAAAACAATAGAGTATAAAAGTTCAGCATGAAAATAAAATATTTTTTATATTAACTACAATAGTAAATTTTCCAAACACTAAGGTGTTGAGAAACCAGAAAAATTTTATTAGAAAGAAGAATTCTGGATTGCTATGTGATATCCACCCTCTTATATGATAGTGAATGTGAAAATCTCCCTGCAGAGGAGGAAAAAAAACTAGAGGCAATAAAAATGTGGTTCTACAGAAGGACACTGAAAATTTAAAAAAAAAAAAAAAAGGCAAGAAAAAGAACTCAGAATCAGAAAAAGATAGCTGAAATTCCTTGGACACATAATTGGAAAACTTAATCCTCACAGGGCATATTGAGGGCAAGAGAGATAAGTGAAGGCTGTGAGTCACTTACCTGACAAACTTGTGTGAATGGATGGTGGAACGGAATGTGTGAGTTTTAACAAAGGGTGAAAAACTTAAGAGCCACAAAAGATAGTAAAGTTGTGAAGAGCCATGGCACATAGAAGAATGATAATACTTTTCCATCAATTTATTAAAAATAATGATTATTAAAACTAAATATTCATTTAGACAGAAGACATTTCTTGAATAATACAGTTTCAAAGAATATGCCAAATTTATAAGAAATTAGTAGTACAGAGTATAATCTTGCAACAAATTCACCTACAGTTAATGTGACTGGCTACATTTGTGCTGACTGGACATTTTTCAATATGTATGTATGTATGTCTACTTACACAATATATCCAAGTAGTAATAATGAAGGCAAATATCAAAAAGTATCAATATTATTCTGCTTGTCAAGGATTAACTAGTAGTTTATTAGCAGAAAAAAAAAAAAAAAAAAAAAAACATTTGATTTGAGTAGTAACCAGTCAACATCTTTTATTATGAAGAGAATATTACAAAAATACTGCCAACAATCCATTTTCCATTGTTGGAACCTTTGGTTGCACTCTCCTCCTACTACTTTTTTCTTCAATAAATTTGCTTACATATAGAAATTTATACTGTTACTTGAGTTAAAAACTGTAAACTGTAGTTGACATTGCCTTTTTGTTTTTAACATTAGTTAGTTACCCATTTATCTATCAATGGTATAAATGATAGCAAAAATAGATTTTACTGTCTGATCAGAAAATTACAAGTCATGCACTGTCATGTGAAGTAACATTGTTTATTGGAGGCCAAAGGTTTCAAATGAAAAATTTTCTATACTTTTTCACTTTAAAGTATTCTCAACTTATAATCACAAGTCACAAATGAGTTTAAAAATGCTAACTTCGTTTTTGACTGGCCACTTGGTTTATCCACAAACCACCTTTTCATTGGATGGAATTTAAAGTGAATAACACGAGACGTAAGGGAAAAGAAGATGAAATGGTAAAAAAAAAAAAATCTAACTAACCCAAGAAGTAAATTTATCAATTGGAAGAGAAAATAATTAAAAAAAATTAATAAACAAATAAATAATTGGTAGAGAGATTTTTTTTGCATACCTCATGCAAAAAATATTGTTATATGTGTATATTGTCTGCAAACTATGCTTTCATCTAAAATTTCCGGCATTGAGAAACAGACTGCATCATTTATTTTCTATTTTCAATTTTCATAGACAGTGAAATAACCGATAGAATGTGTAATTTTTGTTGGCATTTTTTTTATGGCCACACTTACACAGGTTGCATCTTCTCGAGAGAGAGAAAAAAAAGGGGGGTAGGCATGTCGTCAAAGGTCAGGGGGTTTATCCCCCACACACACACAGCGAAAAGGAACTAATTTTAGTGAGCATAGCACCCCCACCCCCCGACATAGAGCCTCTCTCTATCGAAAGACTATGGAGGCAAGAAAAAAAAAAAAAGAGGTGTGTTCCTCAATTGGCTGAGCCCTAAGTTCAGCGATATTAGGCAATGATGTGAGAGGGTAAATTATCTACATAAAATTTTAGAGAAAAAAAAATAAAAGGGGGATCATTTTTATCAAACTTTTTAGGGGAAGAAAGAATTTTTTTTAAGGTAAAGAAATTGTTAAATAATAAATTAGAATGGATACAAATGTTACGCAGCTCAGTAATTTCCCTCCCCATAGTTACCAAGTTCGTTTCTAAATTAAAATTTTGAACGTAATGAAGAAAGTAGAAAAAACAAGATGAGTTGTAGCGTTTTGTTATGTTTCGTTGCGCAAAACGAAGACACGCATGCGTCAATTGAGGACCGGAGTGAGTATTTGGGAATTTTATCATCATCGGTTTGTTACTATAAAATTGCATTTCAATTACTATTTATTTTTAAACATACATTTAAACAAAAAAAAAAAAAAAATAGAATATGTTGGTGTTACACGATTTTCTAAAAAAAAAAAAAAAAAAAAATCCATTGAAAATGCACAAGTTTTTAAATCGAAGTTTATCACGTGTGGTGTGGTGAATTAGCAAAATAAAAGTTACGGAAAAGAAAAATTATAAACAAATGAAAGCAGGATGAACAATAGTTCGAAGTACGTAATTTATTTGTTTAAGTAAAAAAAATATTTCAGTGATGTGATTTCCCCCCCCCCCCACGGAGTGTGGGTAAATATAGTGACCTAAGGTCAAGGGCAACGACAGGCCCTAGGGGTGGTTAATACATGGCATATATAACTTTTTAATCAGATTAATTGTAGTAAAAAAAATAAAGTAATAATCAGCTTATAGACATTCCAAAGTGAAGTAGTAGTATTATGGAGTAGATAACGTTGTTTGAGTGATGAAACAAATACGGCTCGCCGAATGTAAAGTCATAAGCCGGTGATAGAATATCAAGTTACACTGGTTGTGTAGCGTATTGGTTTGTTGAACCCTAGCCCAGTTAAGACATTTATTTACAGGTACTAAGTAGATAATATTGTTGCATGTGAATGATAATCAAAGAGGGGAGGGAAGAACAAACAGTCTGAGAATTCGAGTTTCATGATAAACTTTTTATCTCATCACGTCTAAAATAAAAAAAGGAAAGAGCAACATCAACGTTGCTTTCACGAAAAGAAAAAAAATTAAATATAAGAAAATGAAAAATGTTCAACCTTAGTGGATACAAAAAAAAAATTCACTAAGTGTTGGAATTTTAAAACAAATTCATTAGTCTATGTTGTTTGCATACATTGGAATTAGAGAGACTATAAAATAAAACTAAAAGAAAAGGGGAATAGTCAAGTGACAAGTCCAATTTCACATCCCATCTTAAGCCTAAAATTCCAACTAGTGCTGGAGACGAATAGTTAAATGTTAAAAATAAATTTAAATATCGTTCATTAGATTAAGAAAGCATGAGTTTCACTTTTACTTCGACAATTGAGCTTAAAAACAAGAACCATTCTTCAAAACAATAGTTGAGAAAAGATTCTAAGTTGAACGACTCAAAACAAAAAAAACGTTTCAACACGTAATTACTTCATTTTTTTTTTAATTTCAATAAATTAAGTATGCCTTTCAGAAGTAAAATAAAAAATATGACCGAATGAAAGAAACAAGTAAAAAAAAAAAATAAAAATAAAAGATAAAATATAAAAAACTTAAAATGAAATTTCGTTTCTTCAGCTTTTTAAACTAAAACTTTATCAGATTTGAAAGGAAACGTAAAAAAAGTAATTTAGCAACTTTTATAGACCATAATTTTTTTTTACGATTTATTTTGTAGCCCCCCTTAAACTGACTGATGATACATTTCTAGGGAAGAATGGAGATAAATTTAATAGAAAGGCGTGTAACTAATCTATAAAAGTGATTCCGAAGAACATTCTTGATACCATTGCTAGCAAATAAAACACTTGAAACGTAAATATTTCGACAAGTTTATTATTACACGTCAGACTTACTGTATTATTACTGTATTTTAGAAGCTAAACATCAACGATATATTGTTTTGTTGCCTTTTTAGGGCGAAATTTCAAATACAGAAAGCGCTGAAGAAAAGCAAATGATTTAAAACTGAAATCAGAGAAATATGAACATGTGAAGACGTAAAAATGTACATACAATTGTTTTTTCTTTTTATTAATGGATTGTATAGCATTTCTTTATTTTATTTTTTTTGCAACAATTTATTTACCTACGGTGAAGTTTCTGGAGACATGCACGACCACGATGAGGAGATCAGATTCATTAGAGTACATTTTTTACAAATACATCCCATCCTTAGTGCTTAATTTATTTTACACTAGACAAGGTTGAAAAGAGCAGAAGATTTTAGTTAATATTAGAAAATATAGCAACAATCGTATTTAATACAACTTGTTTGACAAAAAATAAAAATCTCAAGAGAAAACTAAAAAACGTGCTTTGTTGATTTTTAATACAACTTATATTGAAACTAAATTTTTAATTTACAGTGAGTTTTTTTTAAGGGCTTGATTTTAAATTTTCAGTGCGTTTTTTTCTGCTTCTAAAAGAAAAAAATGCTGACAAATATCCCAAAAAAATTAATACAAAAAAACGAATATGAAACCAGGTTTAAAAAAATCTCCACGAAATACGGAGATTGACCAGAAGACGAAAGCAAGTAACATAAACGACAAGTTTTAATTTTAGGAAAAATTAAAAATAAATAAACTGACCGTATGCCGTTCCATGGAGATCATACTGATGCATTCTGTAAACTGCAAACTCGTGCGCAGCACGGACAGGAATCACAGGTGACACGAGGATCAACAATGGCACAAAACAGATAAATGTCATCGGAAAATTATTCCGAAACATTTCGAAAAATTCACCAGCTTCATCAAACATGATGACGACGGAAAATATAAAGGAAAAAAAAAGAAGAAAAGTTGAAATTAGTCGTCAAAAGCTTTTCGTTTTTCTTGTCTCTTCTTTCTCTCTTTCTCGTGTAGGTTCTAATTTTTTTTTAATTTAGTATATATTAAAAAAAAAAGTTTCAGGTATTTCCCCCTGCAAAACCACTGAGAACGTGGACTCTGCTATCAGCAAATGTTGATATAAAAGTGCAATTAAATGCGATATTTTGAAGGGAAACTAAAACATGAGGAAGGAATTTAGAACAGTGATTTGGCCATCGACATAAGAAACTACACGGCGGCTTTTTCACATGGGCCCGATGAAAACGAGGTTTTCTCTACTAAAGTTCAACCACTTTTTTTTTCTAATAAATTCCTTATGGCGTAACCAATAACTTGTAAAATTTCAATTTGATTTTTATTTTAATAATTTTAAAACACATTTATTCGATTTTATGCTGTTTTGAAATTTTTATTTTTGAAGAATAATACGAAAATGCGGAGAGTGAATGGCAGTCATTGTTTTTCCCTACAATTAAGGAATGCCATTTTTTTCTTTTTTGATTAATCAAATATTTTCTTTTCGTATTTTTTTTTGTTTTCCTTTCGTTAATTTTGCTTTTATCTTAGAATATATTTTCCTTCAATGATTTTTATTAAAATTTTTTTTTAATGACATTAATAAAAATCCGAATTCATTTGCATGTGGGTTCATGCTTTTTGGAGAGAACTGTACATTAGTGTGCTTGGAGCAGTTCAGCGTTTGTGATGATTTTTTTTTTATATGTATGTTGTAGTGTTGAATAGAAACGTTGGTGCATATACCTGCATTTGTACATGCCTGTAACTTACATAAATATTGCAATATATGCATTTGCATGCACTCATAAAGATATTTATTTCTTTTGTTACTTTTTTAAAACTTAGTTTTTAATTAATTAAAAAGCAGAGCAATAGTGACCTACAAAAACTTATCACTGATGATGGACTTCAACACATGCATAAAATTTTTGCTAACCATGGCACCACAATATGTATTGAATATAGTCCACTAATACGTATGCATATAAAAAAAATTAACACCAATTCTTAATGCTAACTAACATGCTTGTTGATGTCATGGTAATACACTGAATGAAGATAAAAAGAATGATTGAAATTATGGGGTATTTTCTCACATATAAAAAATAATAAATTCGTTATCTTTTCCAAGCACACATTAAGTATTAATGAATGTCAATAAATGCAATTATGAGGGAATGAAACAATACCCCTGTGTTTCATGCCAGACACTATTTTGCCAGACTTCCACAACTACTATCTGTAACAAGACAAAAAATAATTATGGGTTATTGTTAGGAAGATTAAAATTTTCCTGACACACCACCACTGACATCTTCTGTTCTTTTGAAACAGCATAATAAAATCAGAGCCATTATTTTCAGAGCAACCCTTGTAAATAGAATAAAATAGAAACTTAGTCTGTGGTAGCCATGACACAATTCAAAGATTACATTCCAGTCGTAGCCATATGTTGAACCCATTCTGAGACATGCCTTTAAAAGCATTTAAAAACCAACATCTCTGATGTAATTCCATACATACCAATAAGAACATTAAAAACATGGCATTTTTTATTCTCTTGATACAGGGGGTTGTTGAAATTAATTTTTATAAGATTAGATAAATGAAAACTTAACATTGTTAGACATTAACTGATGTTTATTTTGTACGGAGTCAATAATATAAAAATTTAAAATGTTAACATTGAATAAATATTTAATCGTCTCTGTTGTTTTTTTACTACACGTTCTTTTGAGAGAAGTGTATTTTTATGAAGCCCAGATGGTTTGTATAAAAAATTGTTTCACTTTTATGTCTTTTTTGGTTCAGTAGTTAAAACCCACCAAAATTTGTGATGAATCCATTTCCAGTTTATAGAAAATTATTTTTTCATATATACTGACCAATGACAGATATGGTCTCAAGCTCTAGTAACAATCAGAATGAGGAAAACTTGTGAGCCTATTTTTTCAAATATATAGATCTCAGTTCAGTAGATGTAAAGAAGAAGACTTTTTGACAGCAAGGGGACAAGGCAAATCAAGGAGCAAGAAAGCTTTTGACTTTAAGAAGAGAGCATCAAGAAAGCACCAATTACCAGCCAGCTGCAGAAAGACTAAAGGATTTTGAAGTTCAAGTGAAAATTCTCCTGTGGTTGGATAACAAAGAATGAAAAAGAATTTAAAGAAGTTTTTCAAAACTTGAACAGTGTGTTTTAAAAGGGACTTTTCAATAATTACTATATGACCCAGAGATGCATGTGAGACAAGTAGGTGTTTGCATTTTTTCCCAAAGGTAGTTGCACCTTTATTTTTTACTGCCTTCTTGTATTGTTTTCTTTTCTTTCTTTTTTTTTTGTCTTTTTCAAAATTCTTGTCTTTTCCCAAATTGTTATTTTTTCCATTTTTTGATGGTAATCTTTTTATCAGAAATTGTTAGCCTGCTTTAATCGGTGCACAAAAGAACATTTTTGTGCAAACTTTCTATTTGTACTTTTTCATAATTGTGTAATAAATGTGTTTACCTTTTAAAATTTTGCTTGAGTCTTATTTGTAATTTTTGGGGTGTTTGTCACAAGAACTTAGATTTGGTGGGAAATAAAATTTTTTAAATAAGAATTAGAAGAAATGTTAATGGTAAGATTAGCTGTTTCTTTATAAAGAAACATTTGGCATTCAAACAGTAATAGAAAATTATTCTTTTAAAAGTTTTTCAGGAAAATAGTCTTCTCAAGTACACTGTTATCCCCCTTTGTAGTATTTACAGTAGTTTCCTTCCTAACCTTTTGTTTAAGAAAGAAAACATCTTGATTATATCATTATTTTCCCTTTTAGTTACATGTGCTATCCATTTTAGTTGTTACTGCAGTTGGAAATCTTCAAGTGATGCAGATTTTGTTTACACTATTTACATAGTTCAGACTATTGTCCTAATCTTTATTTTCAGATTCACAGTGTTTCGGCTGTTGATTGCTCCAGTCTTCTTCAGGTGATATATTTTTGAATTTTGAACCGAACACAGAATAGTCAATCTATATGTTGACATTTCTGAAGATTAGTTTGATTACATTTGTGTAGATATTCTTTCTAATTTTATTTCCTGAAATGGGCTGAAATATAACCTTCACATTCCTGAGTCGCTCAGTAAAGTCACTGAGAATCTGTTCCGTTTCCTCTATCCACTGCTTGCAATTATTGTAACAGGGATTGGTAAAGGTCAAGTTCTTTTTCCATAGTTTATTGTTGCCCTGCCATTCATAGATAAGAATTGCAATTCCAATGAAAAAGTCATCACCTTTACCTTGTTTCTTTGTGTGTCAGTGTACAATATGCATGCCATAGATGTTTTTGAAATTGACATAGGTATTGCAAAGAATGCAGTCTGTACTAGTTGATTTGCTGCACTTTAGGACTTGGTGGAAAAAAGATGGATTTTCTTTGAATAGGGCTGTCTTCGACTTTTATTCCCACTTGAGTTCAGCTAATTCTTTTGTTGGCTTTAGACAAGACAACATTGTAACTAGTCTGACCAATATGGAACACATTGAATAAGTCAATATGGCTATTTGTAGCAATGGGTAATGAAGAGGACTCCATCCTTAAATTGCGTAAAAGAAGAATGCGTCCACTGGAGACTTGCTTATAAGTATGTCAAGAGTATTACAGCATAAATTCAAAATGTAAGACAATAAAGATGATGACAACAGTTCAAATTTTTATTATAAAAATGTTATTTTATTATCATAATGTAAATAATGTAAATAGTTACAATATCCCATCTCAGAAATATAGACATATTTGGTTTTTGTTATTTGGTAAAGTTCTTTGTGATTCAGTAGTACAAGACTATAAAATCAGATAAATGATAGTCCCTTCAAGACCTACTGGGTTCATTCACTTGAAGCTATTTTTAATCATTGATCTGATAAAACTTTTGTAATTAGCTGATAGTTTAGACATTTTTTTAACAAGTTGGATGCCATTCACGACATTCATATGAGAGTCTAGGTCTAACAGGGCTACTTAAGAACATGACTCAAGTTCTTAGATTAATGTTTTGTTTTTGTAGCATCTTGCAGCGTTGGACAAAACTATCCTTAACACAGCCTATTCTATGTTCAATTTCCTTATCTCCTATACTAAATTTGTTATAACTGATTCATACACTGAGGTATTTAAAGTGTTTAGTATCTATTAATTCTACATTTAAAATTTTTATAATGGATTCAGGGTTTATGCCATCACTGTCTTCATTTCAATTCTAGATCTGTTTTAACAGTCCTTTATGTCTACTGTTGCATTTGTAAAGCCAAAATATGTCAGTAATGTAAAGATCAACAGCTGGTTTTAATTCATGTAAAAGAAAGTTGCCAATTACATAACCAATACATCACTCCACAATCTTCGTTTATTTTCTAAATGGTGAAACCTGAATTTACTATGGTAGTAATAAACTTTGCTGCCTTGATAACCATAACTCCATATCCAAATACCAATAGATATTTACTAAGCTATGCTTACTTGAGCAAAAGGCTACAAATTTTAGGTATCATGTGAATCTGGCAATCTTTCGTTCAGGACATGGGAAATCACGGTTCTTCACAACTTCCTATTCTTTGTAGCTCTTAGTAAAGCCTGGGATGTACAGGTGGTGTGACTCAGAATGAGAAATTGGGAAGTCAAGTTTAAATTCCAGTCAGGTTTATTACATTCACTTAAGTGCAAATACCCTTGGAAAAGGTATTAATCTACCTCCCCCCGTTTATGGGTTAAATAGTAGGACTTGTATCTGGAATAATTATTGTTATTCTCAAAAAATTGTTAATGCACTCATGACAAAGAAAATTTATTTTTACAATGCAAAATATGTTTCGGCTTTAAATTACCCACAAAGGGTTGATAATCAATGAATTAATAGCAAGCTCTGTTT